CTAATAGGGTGTATGCACCTAGTGAGTGTGTGCTTAATTGATTTTTATGTGTGCATGTGCAATTGTACACCACACCTTCCTGTCTAACAGTGCAATATTGAGATCCTGAACGTTGGCCTGACCCCTCAGGGCAACACCCTGTCCTCTATGAGAGCTATTTTTCTCTTAAAGAGAAAAATAGAGAACATAAAGGCATCCAGTTTCGTATCAATAGAGGACAGAGGACAACCAGACTGATGGCCACCCTACCATCAACCCCACAGCTGACAAGGCTCATGTTGGTGGGAATGGATGACTGGTGCCTCCTGAGTCGCAGAAAACCAGCATGTCCTCTATGATGGCCACACTAGTTGGTGGCAAGTAGTACACTGATGTGGCTAGAAGCCCATGTCAGTTGATGGGCTATCAAGGGGCTCCTTGAACCAGATTTTTAAGAGCTAAAAACCTATAGTTGGGCCTAGATTTTTCAAAGGAGCTCAGCTCTCTTTTAAGCAGTACAATAAGAAGATACTCAAAACTGCTCAACTTCCAGGCTGCTAAGAATATTCTTGATGAGATCAAAATATGCTGTTTTACAGAGGTCAAAACATTTACTGAAGACATATCGACTTTGGTGACATTTTTTTCTGGTCAACTGTTGAGGTCCAGGGCGCTCTGGTCACTTCTGATGACCGAATGGAGCCAGTAGCAAAAAACAGATCTTTCTAAGTGGAAAATGGCTAGTTTTACACAATTTCTTTTCACAAAACATTCAAAAGATATTGCTTTCATTCCCATGTGAAACAAAAACAAATTCTGAAGCCTCAAAATTTGTTGTGATAAAGGAGTGTTGTCCACATTTCAGTACAACTCTGTTTTCAGTAGCTTACACTGTGACACTTACAGACATATTTTCAAAATGTCTAGTTATCCAGGAGTGGTGCTTTTATCCCTAATTTTGCTACCTGTAGGGAAACTGAGAATTTCAATATGTTTCAATGGTATTGATTACGTGGATTTTCCTTTTCAGTTGACAGAATGGCTTTATAAATGCATACATTTGCTTCTTTTATATAATTCATGTATTTACTAACTATTCTTTTTAACCATGGCCTACATCATTTGGAGATAAGCCTGTGTCCTTTAGCTACAGAGATCATGACTAAGCTTAATTATGATGAAAGTACTGTAGAACTCTTTTCTTATACTAAGCCAAAAGTGGCAATGATTGTAGCATGATGCAGGAAGACTAAACTTAATTGTAATTTTAAGTCACAGTGAAGAGAAAGATGCTGAAATAGAAAAAAAAAATACCCCACCACCAAAAAAACCAACCCCAAACAGAAAAAAAACTGAATATGTGGCATCGAAATCAGAGCAAAAGGGAGATTAAGCAGTATCTTACTCCTACAACACCAGAAGTCAATGACTATTAAAGGGACACTTTCATGAGAATTTAACAGCAGTAACTTGATATTTTAGATTTGCATACTTTTGTTTATTTTATATTTGCATGAAATAAATCATACACTATCCATGACTTAGAAAAAAATGTGGTTTTAGCCAGTCACAACTAAGGATGTTTAACTCTTCAGCGGTTAAAAGGGAATATTAGGGAGGAGTGGGGAAGCCACCCATTCCTTTGGATGTCTCATGCATGAGCAGTGAGTTCTGAGCTCATGACAATGAGATCATCAGCTGATTGGAACAAGCTTTGGTCAGAGCCACCTCGTCTGCTCTACTGCTGCTCATCCTCTCTTTTCTCCTTCTTCTGAATTCTCTTGAGAAGTGGCAGGGGAGGAGGAAGGGGGAAGATGAGCAGCAGCAGCACCTATCCCCTGGGCTCAGGGGCCATGAGAGAGCAGTGGCTTCAGCTAGAGGTCATGCTGATCAACTAGTCAATGCCAATTCTGCATGTGAAACTCTGGCAGGATTCCACTCTGACCACACTATGAGCTCAGAGCTCAATGACCATGCACAGAGAGCCAAATGGGGATATGGCTGCATCGCTACACCCTCCTGGGTCTGCCACAGTACCATCTGTGTACTGTATCAGAATAATTTCTGATTTATTAGGTTGATAATCAATGCTCAAAAAACAGTCTTCAAAAGAAGACTAATGGCAGGGTGGATAAAAAAAATGTTTTTTAAAGAAAAAAATCAGATTTTTATTTAAATCAGATTTTTTTATTTTATTGTACTTTTTATTTATTTTTTTGTTAGGATGCTTTTTTAAAAAAAAACATACCACACCACCTATATAAAGATAGTTTTAACTTCAGATACGTTAAAGCTCAAAGATATCCTCATGGAATAGGGATCATAACTTCTCTATAACTATTTGAGACCATATATTCATGTAACCTTTGTAGAAAAGTTTTATAAATATGGCAAACAGGCCATGGACTATATGAGGGGCCCAATCTTATGGTGTTGCCTGATGCTCCTCTATAGCTAATAAAGATTAAAGAAAACCACTTGACCCAATAGGACGCAGTGCTCAGTCTAGAAGATCCCATTAGGCATCTCTGTGATGCTTAGTTTCAGTTCTCAAAGTATGAATTTGTGTCTCCACAGATAACATCCTTGTTAACAGCAGTATGTGGAGATGACAGATAACAGACCTGATTACCTGCCTATCAGCCCTATTGTCTCTCTGCAAGTTTGTGTACACTCAGTCAAGTGCTTAACCCTTCTCTAAAAGTGCAAAGTTTCAAGAAGTTAAATGAATTCAAACAAGAATGCATTTTTGTGGGAAATAATGATTAAATAGAGGCTTCCTGACTGGTGATATAAACTGTGATTTACAAATCTGCCTTGACTAATGGTCACCGTAAAATGAGTTGGAGAGGTTCTATTATTCGGAATGTATGTGACACAATTAACAACTGCCTATAACATTCTATATTTTTCCCCATAAAGCCAAAAAAAAATGGTAATGACTGAAATGTTGTGTCAAATGTTTCCCTGAAATGAGGTATTACATAGTCCACACTATGCTAAATTTGACTTAATTTGTTTAATATCGCAGTTTTAATTGGTATGAAATAGATACAAGCAGTCAATAATCAGAAATCTGAAGTTTAGTCTGATGCATGTGTTGGTTCTGCTTTTTGTTTTTTCACATCTCCATGGATCAAGGATTCAGAATCAGCCTTCATTTTGAACTTTTTCTCAATATTACCTTATATAAATGTAACTTCTTAAATCCAATCATCTAGCTATTTTACTCACCAGGCATGCCAAGGTGGTAACCAGTAGTGAAGTTTGCTAAAAATCCTTTTGCAGTTCCAGTTTTGTCAGTAATGAAGAACACTGTCATCTGGTTAGTGGTAGAGAAGACATCTGGGAAAGAGGCTTGTCCTGTATAAACAGCTGCTCTCAAGGAAAATATGGATACATTTCAGTGATGGGTAAAATATTTATTTATTCATCATCAAATGGTTTGGGATGACATAGGATAAAACCTATAATACATAATCAAATTAGGAGAGAACACCATTACCCATAGATAATTAGTATTCCCAAGTACACAAGGCACCTAGAGAGTTATAATCAGTAAGAATTAAACATGAGACAAGACATGTTAATATAGGCCTTGACCATCTACCCTTGTGCTTATACTTAACAAAATGTATGTTAGAAGGCCTTCTGACTTCAACTGCAACACTTCTCCTTGTGAAATTAAACAGGATTGGGGCAACGTACACAACATACACATTGGGTGCCTTCTAGCTAACTGTCAAGTTTTTGGGGTTATCCCAAAAAGACTGTATTAATGTAAGATGCAATTAAAAAGAGAGCTAATTCTTTTTACAACAAATTTCTCATTTTGTTTTGAGTCCATTGTTCCTATTACTCAATACACATTACTTACCTAGAAACAAGGAATCTGCTCCTCTTCCATCTCTGATTTCAACTACATCATAAATATTTTCCAGGTTAAAATATTGAAAATGAAGTTGAATATTTTTTCCTTTTTCAGCATTTAAATACCATATACCTAGAAAACAGTATTTTCTTTTTTACAAAGCACATACGCTTCACACTGATTCTACTTTTTGCACATTTATAGACCATCCAGAAGAAAGATCTTTAGTAAATTTTCAAAATTGGCAGAATGTTTCTAAGTGACTTAGGCACTTAGGACCTTAAATACTATTGATTTTCAGTGATCCTTTAAGTACGTTTTGACAACAGAACTAAATAATTTGGCAGAGGTGTAATGATGTGGCTGGGCACCTGAGGCAGCTGCCACACATGAGACAGTGGTGACTTCTGGCTGCTGCTTCAACACTGCTGACACAATGCACAGCTGCAATGGTAACTATTTCCTTCTGCCCCAGTTGTCCCACCCTAGTTACATCACTTCCATTTGGTGCTTTTCAAAAATTACCTCTTCTTTGAACTTTGAAACTGCATAAAGTGGTATAGGGGGTGCTGTTAAAAGTAGGAAGGATCAAAAGTAAAAATAAGATCAGTGTCACTTGAATCCTGTACAAACTATCAGCAACATTATTTGAACAAGAGGAAGACACTACCTAGGTCTGTGGAGACAATTCATCCTCGTGAAACTTGACAGGACTGAAATGGTCCCTTAGGCCTACAAAACCTAGTTGCCATAACATAAGTAAGATAGAGTGCATTCATGGAGCTAGCATACACCATAGGTTATGTCATTGAGGAACATGTTTTACAGAGAAAAAGGATTTTTTGCAAGAGTCTGATGATAAAAATGCTTGTTATGAATAAAAGGGTTTGTTATGGTGTATTTCCCCCATATCTGGAGCAGATGGCTCCTGGTATCTGGTAAGAAGAGAAAAACAATGATAAAGTGAAGACATAACTCAAGATGTTAATGAAAAACAGAAAATTGGCTTAATTAGTAACTATGTGACTAAAGGACTATAAATATTACTTCCCTCTTTCCCTTTCTCCTTCTTCTACCCTTCTCCTCACCCTAATGATACCTGAGAACCAAAGACATCTGATCTCCCTTCAAGGAACCAGAGCCTGCTCTGAGATGCCTGGCCAGCTCTCAAGTCATGTATTATTAGGTCTGGTAATATGCAATTACTTGCTTGCTAAGATTATATCTATAGGCATGCTTGGAGCTAATACTTTTATAACGATTAATAAAAGTGATTTATTAAAAGTTAACCAGGTTCTCATTTGGAGGAGATAACCAGGTCCTTGTTTGGAGAGAACTGAAGCATACTTCAAAGCAATATCTACCCTGCTGCTTGCTCTCTCCATTTGGAAGGAGAACCAGATACCACCTAGTTCTTAGGGCAACAACTATATTATTCAAACTGTGACCAGTTAATGCTCTCCCCTTCATTCCTATTGGTCTCTCCTACTGCAGACCCTCCCTTGGTCTGCATGTAGCCAAGGAAGAATGTAAGGGGGTGCTCAGCCTGCAAGTAGTCAGCAGTTATGAGTCTTCCTGGCTGGAAGGCTGGACCTGATGACCACAAGGGTGGAAGGTGGAGCTACAGAGACAGTTAAGAGCTCCAGGAGCAGAGGACAAGGGGAGAAAGAAGAGAGGAGGCTAGCGCTAAATATTTTATAGCAGGGGTATCACCGTGCTGGTTACAATACATCTATGGTCTGAAATGGTACTCTTCAGTTAATGGGGTCAATGCAGAAAAACTACAGGTCCTAGAGAACTGTAGAATATGCTCTAATTGTCAGCATGGATGCCAACATTCTCCATTATTTTTAGTTAACTACCATTTACTAAATTTGACAAGTTGTCAGCATGGTCCTTAATTAAGAGTGCTTTTCTTCCTTCCTAACATTTTGAAAAGCACATTTGTAACCATTTTTATTGTACTCTTAATTCCTGCTGATTTGGGAAGGGTTGACTTACAGGAGGCTTGGTTGGGGTAGTTGTTTGGGTAATTTTTAGAGCTGAAAGTAGTGTTTGGTTCCCAAAGTTCAAATGGTCCGCCGCAGTCAGCTGCAAGAGAAATCACATTAGAAATTTAAGCCACTTTTTGCCTTTTTGAATAACTGATTGTCTAGAAAGTTCATATTCTAGTCAATAAAAATACAAGTCAGCCAAGTAATGGTCATTTAACTATTTACTTCTGCTTTATAAACATGGGCTGGGTAGCATAGAGATAATATTCAACTTTGTAATAATGGTATGAATGTTCAAAGCAAAATGATCCATTAATATGCAGTCCTAAACAATGTGCAGTGAACTGTATCTCAGAGCTCCTTGGGAGTGAAGTGGTTAATACAAAGGGTAGCAATACCATGATGTCAGCCATAGCTTTTTTATAGATATTACTGTTATAAGCTACTAGTCCCACCTGGTTCTTGTACTCTGAGGAACAGGTCTGCAACTGTAACCATTCCCTGCCAGGCCTGCCTTAGTCATGTGACAGAGGAACACAACCTGACCCTTATTTGTTGACCAATGGTCCCTAGGGAGAGTATCAGAAAGCTAAGCTTGAAAGTTTTATACCAGAGAAGCCAGTTTAAAATGCTTATGTTATTGTTTGATTGTATAGCTTAATTAATCTAATTCATGAATTAAAATCTGGAAAGCAATTTTTTTACATGTAAATAACATGTTTATTTATCAACATTTCTGTTGTTTACTCTATTTCTTAACGTCTTCTTATTTGATATACTCTTTGCTGGAGTGAGAAATTGTTTGTTATATAACATAAAGCCTCTTTCTCTTATTCCACAATTTAAATAGCAACAATTTTCATCAGCATATCTTGAGAGGAAAATAAAATTAATAAAAGTGAGGGACGTTTTGGAGGGGGGAGGTGGGAACCTCTCTTTTCAGTCAGTTTTATCTACATTTAAACCAACCCCCCTCCTGTAAACAAAAAACCCCCCAACAACCCAGCATAGTATTTTGCATGGTTCCTATAGATTCTATATTGTACCATAATTAATTTCTCAAAGTCACTAGCTTATCTGAATACCTGAAAATTTCAGATGAAATGTTTTCATCTGAAAATAAAGACTTAATTTTAGTCTGGACACAAGTAAGCACACCAGCATACTCTAAGGGCCTTGTAACAACCTTATACCATGAGCTGCACAAATGTTGATGAGCATTAGTGCTAGCTTGAGTTTGGAACAGTCACACTTCAGGCGTGCAGGGGCCTGGAAGACAGAAAGGCAAGAATTCCCACCCCATATGCTGCACTTTCCCCCTCATGACTCCCACCTGTCTTTCCCTCCCCACTTCCATCTAGTTGCAGCTGCCCAGCTGTCTGTCCCAGAGGAGCAGGCAGGGAAGAGTTAACTTGCTTGCTTGGCCACTGCTGCCAGCGCTGGGCTGCCGCTCTTCTTTGGGGTGAGCCTGCTGAAACAGCAGCAACAGCAGTAGCAGCAAAGCAGGCAGGTTAGCCCTTCCCTGCCTGCTCCCCTTGGACAGACAGCTGGTCAACCACAAGTAAGTGAGGCGGATGTCAGTGAGCAGGGATTTGAGGTAGTGTGGAGGGTGAGTGGGTGGCAGTGGGCATGATCCAGGCCAGATCCTCCAGACCCAGGGATAGGAGGGAGGCAGAAGGACTGCTTACATTTAGGTGTAGCCTAGAGTGGCTGCACCTTAGCTTAACATGATCTGGGAGCACAGTTCAGAGGTAATCCTGGCCTCGAGTGGCATCACTCTAATCTACATAACAAGTGCTTACAACCAGTTTCAGATGTTAATGTGTGGAGAGCCCATGTTAAGAGCTCCAGGACCAATGCACAATTACCATGTAACATCCTGACTGTGAGTGCTTGAAAGGGTTCTTATTCACTTTAACCTATTGTTGCCTATCAAATTAGCATGTGATCTATTCTCACATGGCATTGGGGCTATTATACCATAAGCTAGGACCAATGGTTCTGAACAGGCTGTAGTGTTTGCACCATGCTCACTTACAGGAGCAGAATGGAATTATACACAGATAGACAAAAAAGCTTTAAATCTGGTGTGGGGAGGAAAGAAATTTAATCAATAACTATATGGGAGAAAGTGTGCATTGGTCATAGATCATTAAGCCTTAGTCTCAATAATCCATGCTAAGAAAGGAGTGTATAGGACAAGTGCAGCAGGTATGCAACAATGGCCCCTATTTTTAGCTGGCCACCCTTACAACGCTGAGTACAAAAGAACAAAGGCACATGGAAATGTTAATGGACTCTCATTTACTTGTGAAAGAACTTTCTGTACTACAAACAGAATCTATTGGAATTGTTAATTTATTTCATCTGAAGTATGCCCCAGTAACCTGCAGTACGACTGGGCAAGAAACCAAGACAGATCTCACCCTAGCACAAGTGTATGAAGCCACCCTGAAAGTCTGGAAAAAAATAGATGATCCTAATATAGCAGTTTTTATGCACATAAAAATGAACTTACTATAATGTGTCATGTGGGGGATTCATCCTGAACACAAGCATTTTAGAAGAGCTGCACAGGGAACACCCAGGAGTTGTAAAAATGAAGGAATTGGCCAGAAGCTTTGTATAATGGCCATGTATTGATTCACAAATAGAACTTTGTTAAAGAGTGTATGATATGCCAACAGGTACAGAAGATGCCCAAATCAGCACCATTACACCTGTGGGTATGGCCGTGTACTCCCTGGAAACAGCTCTATATTGATTTTTGCAGGACCATTTTTAGAGATAATGTACCTACTGGTGGTGGATGCCCACTCCAAAGGGCCAGAAGTTTTCTGCATGAAAACCAGGACAAAAGGAACAGCAACTACATGAAGTGCAAACCCCTGTGATTACCAGAGATTTAAGAAATAGCAGCCTGTGGTTGTGAACATGCAAACAGGTCCTTTATCCCGTTTAGTGCAAGTGGCGCCTAATATTGTTTGATGCAACCATATCAACCAATTGCAAAACATAGCCATAACTATCGAACAGAGCACAGCAGCAAGTTGGAACCCCACCTGTTGTTGGGCCAACCACTTTGCAACCTATAGTAATGACCAATAATGCTATATCAGACAGTAGCAATGTTAACCAGCCAGGACCTGATAACATTGAACTACCTACATGCAATAAGAAGACATCTGAATCTCAAATGGGTGAAAGAGTGCCACCTCCTCCAGACTATGTTCAAGGGAGTTTTAGCCATTGTGCAGGAAGGAAACAAATATGAACCCAACATAGGAGACAGCGCAGCATTCTCAAGGAAGCAGTTAAGAAGGTCATCACATCAGCATTACCCAGAAAGAAAACACACGCCACCCAAGAGAACTGTAGCCTGTGCATTATATCACTACGACATCACCGGGGTGGAGGAAGGTAGGATAATGGGGTATGAGATTGGAAATATGTGAATGTGTTGAATCTGCATGTATGAATCTAAAGTTACTTTGTGTTGAGTCTGATAATGCTAACAAAAATATAGTTTGACTTTCTAGTTCCAGTATATTCTGTGCCTTCCAGTCTGGCAACACTCTTTCCTACACTTGTGGCTTCAGTCATTTATTTAAAAATTCCCTGCGACAAACATAATAGTGGCCTTGCACAGTAGTGTGCAAAACTGTTTTTTTTTTCCTATTTCTAAGGTGCATAATTTAAGAAGCTTAGATTATGACATGCTTTAAAGGGCATGCCTGTTGACTTTGTCTCACTAGAAGAACATGATCATATTTATAGAGCTCTGTGTGTGCTTGGGAAGTTGGCAGCATTATGGTCAGGACATGTGAAAATTGGCTGCTGGGAGCTATTACTAATCTTGTGATGCTGCATTTGCTTTTCATTCCTGGACACAGATTTGACAGGTCAGAAGAATGTGGCTCTATGTACAAGTCAGCTACTGTCTCATTCCATTACTCTGGGAAAGTGACTTCACTGTTATATGCCTTCACTCATGAATGACCCATGCCCCGGCAGCTGGGGCAGTACGGCGGCGGTGATAAGGGGTGGGGGCATGGCTAGCACTGACCATGGGTTGATGGCAGCCTGCGGGGATTGGCAGTTTTGGAGGTGGAGTGGCAATCAGCGCCTTTTTGTAGAGGGTGCACTGCCAGGCTCAGGGGGTACACATGTACCCACATGTACCCCCTACACATGGCCCCTGCCTCCGCTAGTCTTAGTTCTCAGTAAAGTATTATTTTGTGGCATGGCAGGAAGCATGCTTGTTGGGATCCCACATCAGATCCCACTGTGCTCTTGACATCTGTCAGGGGCCTTAAAGGCAGCTCAAGTGCGTCTACATTGTACCTCAATTTCCCCATGTGCAAAAAGGGAATGCTGCAATTTACCAACTTTTCTAAGACACTTTTCAGAGAATATGTGTTATAAATGGAGGGTGATTACATTAAACACATGCAAGCAGTAGAATGTATAGACACACATTTATGTAATATAGAGAGTTTTGAGAGCTTTGAAGTTGTACACATAGATCTGGAAATTTTCAAAATGTTTTTTTAATAAACTATGAACAGGTGAGTAGTTAGGCCCTTGCACAAATACAGTCAGAACTAAAATGATGTCATATGACATTAGTGAGCCTTCTAAAACTTCTGCTATGCCTAGTATGTATACACTAAATGGAAATTGCAAAGGGGTCACTGCTTTTAAACATTTAAGAGTTACTTTTTTAATTTCAAGCATAATTTTACATTGAAAAGCTGGCTGGTAAGATACCAATTATGCTTGGTTTAAGAAAATGTATTAGTAGCTGTCTGGATACAAATGGCTGTAAGGAAGCACTTACGGTATCTGCCATTTTAATTATGATGCTACCATTTACTCTAATGGCGGTCCAGTTATGTAGCAAAGATTACACGTGTTCTATAACAGAGCTGCAATAGATTCCTATTATAATGTGATTTCAAATTTCCCTGTTATGCAATATTATTAGACGAATGGGTCAGAATTTCATTACAAATGTATAATATGTAATAAATGAATATTTCAAACACTTACGTCAGTTACTTTCACTTCATCAGATCCCTATTAGCTGCTTTACAT